GCATTTAATGCTGATCTCTGGTTCATTCATATTTCAAACAGTAATGTGCCCATTTTCTCATCTGGGAAGCCTCTGAGGTTTTTTTAATACATTTTTATAAATTAACCGGGCACAGATTTAATAATAACTTGTGTCTGTATAGCTTTTTTCATCTCTGAGGATCGTGGATTGCTGTGCAGACTTAACGGTGTAATATAGAAATTACATGCCAAAGGATCCATTTGCTCTCTGCCGAAATGCGGCAGTAGTTTGGATTGCTCAGCAACGCTCATGGATGCAAATGACGGCGAGGGAAAAGCTTGAATCCGGCGCTCACGGCAGAAGGTGAGCTTGGAGGGGAAGGATGCAACTTGCTTATGGGTGCTCAGAGCAAAGTCCTCTGAAGGAAGAGGTCACAGGGATGCTGAGGAGATCTGCACGAGAAAAGCAGGATGGTTACTGAGCCTGGAAACTAGGATGCTGAAAAACAAAGAAGAAAATGCTCCTTCACACACTTCTAACTATTGGGATGCAGTGTCACTAGGTACGGAGAAGCCAAGAACGTGGAAAGACTGGGGAGATTGGTCTCTTCTGTTCACAATGTGTTTCTTTAGCAAGATATCCAATGGCAGACAACTTTATCCATCAGGATGGGAAACTTCTAAGCAGGAGCATCAGGTTTCCCAACCAAAGTGTTTTTAAGTGATCCAAAACTCTCAGATTTGGTGATGTAGGATCTTCTCGTATCGCCCTTGCTGGCCGACTTAGAAACAAAGAGGAAGGTATTGAGCTTCTTTCCTTGGAGACTTTCATGCTCTTCCAAGAGCTCCCACCCAAATTCTTTGCTTCTGAGATCCCCAGGTGAAATGGAGCTTTTCCAACCCTCTGTCCTTCCCAGTCGCCATGTTTTGGTGTCGCTGACGCTAGGATATTTGGCATGGAGGTTGCCCGTTCCCCATCCTGAAATGAAAAAGTTCAGAATGAAGCTCATGCGTATAACATCTGATTGGGAAAATATTTACGGATAGCAAATTGCCATCTCTGTAGAAGGAAAAAGTGAGAAAGTGGAAACGTGATATTTATGTTAATACAAAGTTTAAAATTTAATTTGAGACCAGCTGTTTCTGCTTCTCTTATAAGAGCTTAATTGGTATATAATAGCATAGTTAATTAAATACAAATCAATAGTTTAAAACAGCTAATTGATATTTAATATGTATGGGAAAATATAACTTAGTTGTAATATAATTAACTCAATATTAAATAAGCAATGGAATTGCAATTATGCCTTTACAACGATTATAAAGTTTATCGTTCTTTAATAAACTTGCAATTAGACAGGATGAGCTGAAAAATTATTAAACAGGTATTATTGGGCTATTAAACACTTATTATCATTCCTGGTGGAATACAGCTACACAATAGTACACATTATGGTTGTGTTAATAAACCTTTATTACTGCTTTGCAGCTTTAGCCTTTACTGTACTGGTTGATCAGAAACTTTGTTCCCTCCCTGAGTTGTGGGTGGAGGAATTGCCTCGAAATTGAGTAGGGAAATCCCAAACGATGGGAGAAGTTAGGAAAAAAGCAGAAGGATTCCATAGTTTGGGCCAGCAAAGAGAAATCTTTCTTTCAAAGCCGACTTGCCCAGTCTGTGCATAAAGATCCCTTTCTAGAAGACCCTGAACTCTTGTTTCTTTTAGTTGGCTTTTGCTTCGTTGTCACTGGCTGCCCCTAGTGCTGGCAACGTCTGGTTTGAACTTGCTTGTGCTTTGTCTGATGAGTGGTTCTTCTGCAAGTTTTGAGGTGAATTAATGCAGGTACTTCTGAGCGAGTAAAAACATGGTTCTGCTCTGTATTTTCCAAACGAGATGCTTAAACTCACGCTTCTTCAAAGCACCAGGGATGATAGCCTTCAACTGTAACTAGTTTCCCTCCACTGGGGAAAAATCAATTGCCATTGCAAGGAAATGGATGAGACTTGTTTTGTGGGTGGGGGACACACATGGGTTAAAATGTTCTGTTTTCAGTGGTATCTCAGCAGCCTCCCCTAAAGCCAAAACATTTAAAATGCTGGGTATCTGCGTAACTATTTTAGCTCTAGGTAGCCACTAAAAGCCATGAAGTGGTGAGACATCCTTAGGCATCTTGAAGTATTTTACCTTTTAAAGCAACTCTCAAGTATTTAAAGGTGCCTTTAGCTATAAAGATTTTTGCATGTTCTCACAAATTTATGGTATGAATTATTATAATGCGGTGCTCTTGTATAGCTCCTTTCATCATGGGATATCAAAGTGTTTTATAAGCATTAATTATAGCACCCCTCAGGGAGGCAAATGAAAGATAGACACCCGTACCGGTGTGTGCTGATCCAGGCTCCAGACGGGTAATAACCCAGATTTCATCTGGATCCAGCCCATGTGGCTCAGCCCTGACAATCCCTCCCTCCTCTAAGGGCTAAGTTGTTACTGGGACCTCTTGGGTAGCACAGCCGTTGCCTTGGGTCGTAGCCCCTTGCCACAGTCTCTAAAGCACGACCTCGTTCTTGGGAGCGTTTCGCTCCCTGTGACTGGAAGATGAGAGTTGGACGTCTGAGTGGTGGGATATTTATCCTCCAAGTAGGCTGCAGCTATTGCTGCCTCCGTCAGTGCTTTGGTTTAGGATGCTCTTGATGATGATTGTGGTCCGTGGAGAGCATTGCAGCCCCCGTCATGCGAGGTCTGCGTGTTCAGGAAAAACCCGGCCAGCATCCACAAGCAGGCCCACGTGTGCATGCCGGAATGTACGATGCACGTCTGAATTGGTAAGATAAGAATGCTGGCTTGCTCAGCTCCGCTGTGGGCTGCGCTGCCTTGTGTGACGCTAATCTAATTGTGGTGTTTTAATTACGCTTTGATACCTTGGTGCTCATTGAAGGCTCAATAGGAATCAATGCAGTTTTGCTTTCCTATCAATAAAGACCTCTGCCTGCTTCGCAGGCTCTATGTAAATGGCCCCAGAGGCTATCAGCAGGCTCACAGCCATCTGGCCACATGCGCACGGGACCTCTGTTTTCACGGGCATCATGCAATCCTTCATGGAAACCCCACTCAAAGTTCAGCAGAGTCTTACCGATTCTAGTTATCGGACGGCGGTAAGGGAGGCAACCTGTGCTGAATGTCCTTCAGCTAAAACCGGCAGACCCTAGCGGCAGTTGGGAGTAATAGAGGCATCTAATGCTCTGCAAGTCGACACCTTTCTTGGTGTGTTTGCAGTTGTTGCGTAGGCTGTGCAGGGACGGTAGATCATGTCGCCTCTGCACTGTGGAGCAAGAGGGCTGGTTTCCACCGTCCCATCCAAGATGGGAGCTGGTTGCAGTTTACCTCTTCTGTTAATTAGGACTCTGATTCAAGAAATGGCTGAGGATGTGGGTGGTTGATTGATCTGCCCTGATTTGTCTAATCTTGAGACATCTATGTCTGAGTTAGTCACCACCTTTTATCGCCAACAAGAGAGTTACAAGCACCCCCAAAGTCATCCCAAGTAGGTGAAGTGAGTCACTTTCTGGAGATGCCTATTTCTCTCTGGGGCACTACCTTAGGTGGCAATGTGGATTTAGGGGGGCAATTAAATTTCAGCTTACTCTAAGCATCTCAAGAGACTTACTTTTGTCTGAGCATTGACTGCAGTGGGATTACACACGTGATTTATTTTGGTCAGATGCTGACGTCCTCCCTCATGGGAGCCTTAGGATCAGGAGCTGTTGGTCCTTAGCCTCTTGCAAGGTGGAGCACTGTTTAATGTTAAAGAAAGTGCTTTAACTAGTCTTGCTTGTACCCTGAGAGTCCTGGGGTCAAAAGTAGTCTGGTTTTTTTTTCTGGGTTTAGGCTCTCATTCTGCCTCATACTGTGCGCAAGAGGAGGATGCTAACCCCTCTGCTGGGATGCCATGGCAGCTAGCAGTATTAGGGAGAGATACTGTTTATCTGGGTGTATACCCGTATAAATCTGGGTGTCTTCCCTGCACATCACACTGCAGTGAGCGACTTTCCGCTTCCTCTGGACACGGTCCGGATCTGCGATTCAAACCCAAGTTTGCGTCATGGTGCTAAAAGCCAAGGCTGCCAGGCAGCGCTGGCTCCGCTCTAAAGCTGTCGCTGCGCTCTCAACCCTCCTGCTTCGCTGCCTTCCCCTCTTGCGTGCGGCACAACTTCACGACACTCCCGAGCGCTCCTTCCTCGGCAGAGGGGGGCTCTAAAGAGACCACAGCCACATTAAGTAAACATCAAAGGGGCTTTGATCAGCAGGGCTCTGTAGAGCACAGAAGCCCCTGAGGAGCTCTGCAGGTCCACAGGCAGGCAGCATCGGGACACTGTACCTTAATTTTCTCCACTGCGACACAGGAGAATTTGTTTGAAGAACTAGAGCTTTTTGCTGCTCCGAGATGCACACAGGGAGAGCACGCATGCACGCAGCCTACTTCTGGAAAAACCCATGTTCAGATCTCTCTGTTACCGATAGTCAGAAAGACCCATTAAGAAATCAAGGCATCGAAGGCATGCGCCTCCTCAGACTCTGGCACTTTGCTACTTGGAGGGTCACTTGCTTGTTTCTAAAGAGCAAGATGCCTCAAGCCAGACTTATCTTCCCTTCTGAGGGCCGCTTCCCGTTTTACTTTGCCGCCCGCTAAGGGAGAAAGGGATGAAAGAGTCCATATTGTTGCAACGCACTGATGTGGAAGAAGATGCAGCTTGTTCCCTCTGCTTAGTGTAGAGGAGCACTTAAGAAATGGGCAAGGGAGGGGATGGTGACCCTCCTGTCTCTAGATATATGTGGCTAAGTGGAGCAGCGCAGCAACAGCTGGTTTGGGACCCCCAGCAAACTTCAGCTGTGAGACTGACCAAAGACTTCAGTTACGTGCCTGCCTGCCGGTGCTTTACCTGAACAGTATAACCAGCAGGATTTGTTCCCTGCAGCATCCCCGTGTGCTTGCTCTTGTCCCCAGCCTAGTCTTCTAACATCACTCTCTCTTCTCTTGCAGAACTGGGGCTCCCAGGAAGAGGATGCTGCCTAGTACTGGGGTTCATGTACAAGGAGAAGTACCGCAGGATGACTGAAGGTGAGCAGTTCCCTCACCTTCCATTCTTCCTTCCTCTTTAGCTATCTCATTGCAAGGGATGAGGATGTGCTACTGCTAGGAATGTGCTAGGTTCTTGTTTACGCCAAGGAGAAAATCCCGCTTCCCCTTTGATCTCTGAAACATCCTAGCGGGCATGGATGTGGGAAGCCTCCTGCATGAAGCTGCAAGAGAAGAGAAGTTCCGTACATCCAAAACCCACTGTCTTTTTCCCATGGAAAGGATTTGTCATATGGGAAGCTCTTCCAGCAATTGCTGCATCTAGCCTTTTTATTCTAGTTGGGTGGTAGTGCCTCACCGTGACACCTCCAGGGTACCAGTTTTCAGTGCCTTTGCACCCCTCAGAGGAGCCGTTCCGTTGTTTGTCGAACCCCTGCACTCTGGCAGAGATCTCACTAAAATTTCCCTATTTATATTCTAGTCATCCCCTAAGTACTTCATGAGCATTGATTAATCCATAGAAATATCATAAATAATTATGAAGCATAATAACTAAACAAAAACTATTTACGCTCGGAAGAATTGGCGTCCTTGCTTCTGGTAGCTTCGTTGCTTGGCTTCTTTTTCTGGAGCAAACCCTGGTGCAGCACCATCTCTGATTAGCGCTGGATCAGAGAAGGATTAAAGGTCCCAGAGCCCTGCAAAATGGGAGGGTCTTGAGGGTGTGTCAAGGAGAGTTTGGCTGCTGTGAGGTTACTCTGGGGACTGCGAACTTGATCCAAACACGGATTTAATCCTTTTTTGGGGCTGTGATTGGAAATGATTTGGACAGAGGGTGTAATCGCTTGCCCCACTGCACTTCCTTTAGCTCGCGTGGGATGGTGTATTGCCCAGCAGTTAGCCATGGGGGTGTCTACCCTTGCAGGAAGCCTTGTCTTCATGAGAGTAAAAGGTGCGTTAGCTTTCATGGGGTAAAACTCTGCTGGAGGCAGGTTTATGGCTCAAATATCAGTTAGAAGATAAAAGGTTCCTTCAGTTTCCCAGGAGCCCTGATACTGAGCCGATAACATGGGGAAAGTACTTCATAATACTTCACCTCATGCTTGTTTGTTACCACATGCTTTTTAAACATTGATTAGAGTATGTCTTTAACAGGAAGGGGCTGCCCCTTGGGAGAATGGATGGCAGAGTCTGGTCTGAGTGCTTTAAGAAGGTGCAAGCTCTCTCTCAATACCTTCCTGTCCCTCAAGCCTCCTGGAGAGGCTGCCTGTGGCTGTGCTCAGATGGGCAGGAGCACCCTGGGGGGATGCTCACAGGGTTTCTGAGAGCCAGCAGGACTGTGGGCACACCTGGGCATCCTGCCGATCCCTTGGGATTATTCACAAAGGCTCCTGTCCCCTGATGGATTCAAAGCCCGCATCCATCCACCTACGAAGTGAGCCCCCCTTTTCAGGCTGAATGTGGCTTTGTGTGGAGAGAACAAAGAAACATGAAAGGCCAAAAGTAAAGCCTTTGTGTGGGAATGGGAACAAAGTGTGTCTGCCTGGCACTGTGCAGCCAGGGAGTTTCTGGCCCCCGCAGGCTCCAGGACCGTTACGTTTAAAGGTACAATCTGCCAAAAATAAAGTCGGGGGATTTCCATGGCTATAAAGACCGCCTAGGACTTGTGTTTTCACTAGAGGTGGTTCTGGATGACAATTGCAGGCCTCACACCTCCTGGGATTTTGGTGGATTTCAGTGCAGATCCACGCTGTATGGTGTGGGCTGAGGTCTGATGTGAGCCAAGGGGGGTTTCAGATGTCTGGTCATCTACAGAGGTACAGCGAAAGTATTTCCTGCCCAAAGTACCTGGGCCAGACTCTTTGGGCCAGTTACCTTGCAGGGATAAGGGGAGAGACAGCTTCTCTTACATTTTTGCCAAGTGAGAGCTTTTCCTCTTTTTATTGCATGATGGTGCTAATGAATAGCCCTATTAATAATTACAGGGTAGCTGAAGGAACTGAAAGCAGAGGTAGGCAGTGGGGCAATCGGATAATTATGAGGTGCGGGGTCTCCATCGTAGTGGAAATGGGTAATTACAGGGATCCTTAGAACCTTGCTGTCACTTAATGGAGACATCTACAAAATGTGCTTGTAGGTAGAGAAGCACAAGAGGCCTTAGACAGAGGCCTTGTTAGCGTGGAGGAATCGCTTGTTGGTGGGAAGCGCTTCTCTTGGCTATCCCCACAGAGAAGATCCAGGCTGGGCACTTGGCAGACCAGTGTGGCAACCTCTCCCAGCAGGGTAAAATAAATGTTGTGGCTTACAGATGCTCTGCGGCCCTGCCCAGCGAGGGTCTTTGGTAGCATTATGTTGTTTGTTTACCAGCTGGCAAGTGATGGATGTCCATTAACACAACTGATTGCAGATGCAGGCTCTTCTGGCTGAGCTGTCCTCCAAGGCGAGAAGCCAAAATAAGTGTCCGAGAACTTGCCTCTGTTGGTGTTAGTTAACGCATATCAGTTCCTCATATCAACCTGTGTCGTGAAAAAACAGGTCTGGGTGAGGTGTTGGTGTCTCTCCCAGCTGTAAGGCACCAGAGCAGCCTGGGCTGCTGCCGGCACCACTGGGGATGTGCAGGGCAAAAATGATTTGGGCACTCGCCCTGCAGCTGGCACTGCTGTGCCGCATTGGGTGCGATTGCCTCTTGCTCTGTTGCCACTGTGAAGCCCACATGAGGAAAGGTGCTGGATTTGGGCACAATTTGGGGGTGTCCAGCTGGTGCTCCGGTGTGGCTGTTATACACTTATCCCTTTGCTGTGATTGACGATTGCCTCGTCTGCGTGCTGGGATCGCTGTCTGGTGCGCGGCTGTGAGTTGTAGGGTGAAATTAAGCTGGTGACAGTTGTAGACAGAGGGAGAAGAGAGGTAGAGCTGTCTGTAATGACGGCCTTGCAATAAAGACGCTTCGGAGTTAATCCTCCACCATCTGTCTTCATTCTGCTAATAACCCACTCAATCAGATGCTGCTGACTGTTTGTTAACATTCAGAAACAGATACATAATCAGGAGGAGTGTGCTGTTTGCTCATGAGGTGCTGGATTCCTCTTCGGGAACAACTCTCCCCCGGCCATGGCAGCGGCTCAGTGGGAGCCACAGCTTGTGGACTGGATGTCCCAAGGCACGTGCCATGCAATGGAGGTGATGCTGAGACCAGCAGTGATCCGAGTTACCCTGCTTTCCCCAGGGCTTGTGCTGCCCTGGCTCAAGGTTATTTTGGAGTAGAAAGGTGGTATCTGTGAGGTGGGTCACCTTAGTCCCCCGAGAACAAGGATCTTGAACTAACCTGAAAACTGGGGCTTGTTTTTCTATTCCCTCTTCACCTTCACTTTCAGCTCTCTTCCCTTCCCAAGGGAAGGCAAGGGGTGTGCTGTAAAATCTCTCCCTGCCCACCTATCGTGCTTGGTCCCTGCCTGTCCATAGCTGCAGGTCCCAAGTTGGGCTTGCCCCACTCTCCTCTGTGGCGGTCAAAGGCAGGTATTCAGATGTCAGTCCCGCTCCTGCTATTTTTCTTCTTCTCTCCTGCCTTTGACTTCTTGCCAGATCTAACTCGAGTCATTAGCAAGCGTCACTGCAGCAATTATGGCACTTTTTGGCTGCCATTCATAAAGCTACTGACGGGAACGATTAAATGCTGAGAGGTGTCAGCCTTCTCCTTCACCACCTGTTCCCGCCAGCCGTTGGCTGCTGGAAGGTGCCTACAACCATCTCCCCACGCACAGGGTAGCGGGGTAGGGCATCTGCCTTCCCTCCTCTCACCTCCCTTTCCAGCCACTTCGCTGGCTCTCATGTCCTCGCGTGCAGTGGGCAGGTGGCATCTCTGTGGGATGGACCCAGTGCTCGGCTTTGTCACTGCGTGGAGGGGGAGGGTGGGCTTCATCCTCGTGTCCGAGGTTGGGTGGTGAAGGCAGGCGTGGCTGGGAAAAGGGACAGAAGAAGGACTTGGTGTGGCATCCTCCTCCTGGACCAGCTAATGGTTAATGATCTGTGCTCAAGGAAGGACAAACTCCCCCTCTTCAGCTTCCTGCTTGGCTTATAGCCCTGCTCTCTGCTTTGCTCGCATCCACGCCATCGGTTAGGAACAGGCACGAGGCTAAAATCTGTACCTTAATCTGCAGGCAGTCTCCTCGGTATCGGCTGCTGTAGATGCAGATGCTGACTGGTGTGCCAGGAGAGGGGCTTGTGATGGAGTTATCTCTGGCAGCAGCCGCCCTCCATTTGCATCGTGGCTGGAAGCAGAACCTGGTCTCTGTAGCTTTCTGCATTCAAGGTGTCTCCATTCACTATACAAAGCACTGCAATACCAGCAGCCGTTACTGCAGAGCTGCAGCTCCACATAGCAACGAGTGCTGCTCTGTGTTTAATTGGGAGAGGGTGTTGCTTAGCAAATCATGTTTGCTGGGTAATGACTGTAGAAATCGGCTCAGATAAGGGCTGTCCGAATCCAAGGCAGGAGATTTTTCTCTAAAGGCCACGGGGATGCTGTGGGGCTGTTGGTCAGCATAAGACAAACCTTCAGTTTTGGGAGTATAGATGGCAAGAACTTGAAAGTTTTGCAGTCTGAGCTGCAAATCTGACCTTGACTCTCTTGTTCAGAAGGTTTGGGATCTTATTTAAAGGCGCGGGGACTAATGCAAAGCTCCAGTGTCTCTTGTTGGGGGAAGATGGAGGTCCCAAAAGGGGGACCATCCACGTACCTCAAACGTAGACGATTCATCCGGGTACCTCAAACGTGGGACACAGATCAGGGTTGGCCCAGAGGGGCAATGACGATGGCGGCCTGAACTGAAGGAGAGCCACCAGCCTGCTCTCCTTGTGATGGCTCGTGCATCCATGCAGCCCTCACAGGCTGCAACTAGTAGGGATGATTCGGATCGGCCCCTGCCTGCCTGGCGGAACTGGGCAGCTGCCTGTTTCTGGCTTGTGTTATCAGCTGTGGCTTTGTGCTCGTGAACTGCGAGCACTGTAGCTCTGGATGGGGTGTTTTTTTTGTCTTCGGTGTC